AAATGTGATTGAATGATATACTGGAATTCTCAGCTGTTTTGGTGTTGGTCTTTCACCATTCACTTAATGCACATGTATAGCATTGTATTAATAGCTTCAGTTTTATTTCTGTCACATCTTTCTTGCCCCTCCCCCCTGACTTGTTACCTATAATAATAAAAGCATAATATGCTAATTAGACCAGATGTCCTTCCGGATGAAGCCGGGGCTGTGGGAGAAAGGAAGGCCTACTCTTACACGAATTTCGTGTGTCGGGCCTCTGGTATTTATTATATTTCTGAGCCTAGCAGCTCTCCTAGGATTATGTCTTTATAACCACTTGGTTGATAGACCATCCAACTGTGTTTAAGGTGTTTTCACACAATTGCTTTCTTTCACACTGATTTTGGAAAAATAATGACTGCTGGAAGACTTCTGTTTGGTTGCAGAATTTAAGTAATGGTGAATGACTTACAGGAGCACTGTGTGGTTTCCATTAAGGTGGAATAAGCACCTTGCTGGATGCAACTAAAAACCCTGGACAGAATGCATGGTGAGGGCTCTGAAAAGTAAATGTTAGCAGGTGAATGGAAGAAGGAAACCAGAATTTAAAATGCCACTGGAACAGCCATGGTTTCCTGTTTCTTTTTTCCTCTGGAATCTCCTAGGGTGGTCTCAAAGGCTGCCAGAAACCTGGAACTGCTACACACGAGGTGCAAATAAAGAACTCCAAGAAGTCTCCTTTTTCTGGTCTGTAAAGACAGGAAGGAGGGGTCCCTTTGGCTCAAAGAGAATGGGTGGGATCCCCTTTTGGTTTAGTTTTATTTTGTTTTGTTTTTCTTCTGTTCTTTCCTGCCACAAATAATGCAGTCCTGTAGTAATTGTAGCCAGGTAGATGCCTAAACTCCAAGGAGGGGGGGACATTTTTTGACCAGAAGAACTGTGGTCCCAAGATAGAATAGCATCAGGGATATCCCTGTTGTTGTTTTCCCTCTGTCATCTCCCCATTTGGCCCATGAGAGACAGATAATCACAGGCTGCCTGCTGCAGAGTGGGAAACCTAAAGCCTTGGCTTTCTAGCCAGAGGACCAAAAAGTTCCCCTGCTTCTGCCTTTGAGCCCGACATTGTCAGAGCTATTATGGAGAGGAGAAAGAGTTGAAGAAAGTGAGTCCCATAAAGATTTATATGAATCCCCCTGAGCTGCTCATGTATGGCTCTGACCCTAAACAGAAGATCCAAGGCTTTGAGAACTGATAGCTCACCTCCCAGTTCCAGACTGGCCACTGAGTGCATGATAGATCTGAATACCATCCTACATAATAAAGAGCTAATATGCTAATTAGATCAGACCGCCTTCCAGGCGAAGCCTGGGCTTCAAGGGCCAAGCATCAGGCCTCTAGTGGCATGCATAATAGCCTTCCCTAACTAAACTGAAACCTAACATAAACCCATAGAAAAAAGTTAAACGAGAACTTGAGGGCTGAACCATAACATTTCAAGTGCTTGCTAAAACAATTTTTAAATCAACATGCTCCATAGGATTTAAATACGATTTAAAATTATATAACTTGGCCTGGCTGGTGTGGCTCACCCTTGAAGGGTTATGGGTTCAATTCCCTGTCAGGGCCATGCCTGGGTTGCAGGTTCAATCCCAGTCTGGGCATGTGTGGGAGGCAGCTGATCTATCTCTGTTGCTGCCTCTTCCCCCTGCCCCCCTCCATAAACATTTTTAAAAAATTATATAACATGATCAAAGTGTTCAGGCTGCAATGATAAATTGCTCAATTATACAGAAGATCAGGATATTCTCGGTGTCTCTCAAAGGAAGACAGTCAACATATACCAGCCTTGAGGTGATGCTGGTCAAGATTTAAAGGCAGCTGTCATAACGATTTTATAAGTAAGAGTGAATACTCTCAAAATGAAAATAATTACTGAAATAAAAATTACTGGATGGGCTTAAATAGAATGGACATGACAAAAGAGTGAATGAGTTTATCCAGTCAGCAACAGAGAATAAAAACTGAGACTTAAATGTAAGTCGTGAAACTATAAGCAGCAAAATCTCAGCTATCTCTTATAGCGATATGTTTACCGATGCATCCCCTGAGCAAAGGAAACTAAGGAGCAAATAAACAAATGGGACTATGAAAATTAAAGTTAATGCACAGCAAAAAAAAAAAAAACCCACAAAAAAAACACAAAACCATCAACAAAATGAAAAGGAAGCCCTCTGTATGGGAGAACATATTGGGCAATGATACATCTGATAAAGGTTTAATATCCAGAATGTTTAAGAAACTCATGTAACTTCTTATGCATTTACTGGAGGTCCGGTGCACAAAATTCGTGCGGGGGGGGGGGGGGCGGGTGTCCCTCAGCCCCGCCTGCACCCTCTCCAATCTGGGATCCCTCTCATAATCCAGGACTGATGGCTCCCAACCGCTCGCCTACCTGCCTGCCTGATTGCCCCTAACCACTCCCCTGCCAGCCCAATTGCCCCCAACTGCCCTCCCCTGCCAGCCTGGTTGCTCCTAACTATCCTCACCTGTGGGCCTAGTCACCCCCAACTGCCTTCCCCTGCAGGCCTGCTCCCCCACAACTACCTTCTGCTGGCCTGATCACCCACAACTGACCTCCTCTGCCGACCATCTTATGGTGGCCTTCTTGTGTCCACACGGGGGCAGCCATCTTATGTGTTAGAGTGATGATCAGTTTGCATATTACCTCTTTATTAGATAGTATACCTTTTTTTCCTTTATTTTTCCCTTTATTTTTTGGAACTCATACAACCTAACCAAAAGAAGACAAACAATCCAATTAAAGAATGGCAAAGACCCAGCCAGTATGGCTCAATGGTTGAGCATTGACCTATGAACCAAGGGGTCACTGGTTCTATTCTAGGTCAGGGCACATGCCAGGGGTTGCAGGTTCACTCCCCAGTAGTGGTTATGCAGGAAGCAGCTGATCAGTGTTTCTCTTTCATTGATGTTTCTATCCCTCCCTTCTCCCTCTCCCTTTCTTTCTCTCTCAAAATCAAAACAAATTTTTAAGAAGAAAAAAATACTAGTTAGTTGTATATCCATATGGCTTCAGTTTTGCTATTATTGCCTGTACTACAGACTTTCTACTTGATTGAAATAGACATTTTCCCATTTCATTAGAGAGCCACATTGTATGCCCAAGATCTTGTGGGAATGCTTGTACTGTTGAATTGCCAGCCAAAGGCTTTTTTTTCCCTTCATTTTTTGATAATGTTTCTCAATTTTTAATATGCTTTAATCATTTAACTAGTGAAAAGTAATGGTTTTCCTTTTCATACACACACACACACACACACACACACACACACACCCTAGTGTCCCGGTGCACAGATTCGTGCACATTGAAAGGAAATCAATTAGAAGAAATATTTTAATATCCCTATTCATGTCTTGATAATGAAAAGAAAATAGGATTCTACTGAGTCTACCTACTCTAGGACTTGAAGCTCAGGAAAACACTTCACAAACATTTAAACTATAAAATGTTTGCACCTGACTATAAAGCAAGTCGGTTTCTTGGGCTGAAGAAACTCCAAGGAGCCTAGTCACCAGGGAGAGGAAGCTGGGCATTGTTACATGGCGTCATTACCCAGCATCCACAGCCACCGTTTCCGGGCTGAGCTGGGCTGTAGGCTGCACCATGGGGGATCTTGGCAGAGTTGGAAACTAGAGGCCCAGTGCACGAAATTTGTGCACAGGTAGGGACCCTAGGCCTAACCGGTGATCAGGGCCTTTTGGTTGCCAGCTGGGGCCTCCCTTCCCTGGCTGCCGGCCAGGGCCTTCCTGTGGTCTGTGCACATCATAGCGAGTGATGGGTCTCCCAGTCGAACTCCCATGAGGGAAAGTTGCATATATAGGCATACACACACACACACACACACACACACACACACACACACACACACACTACAGGCCTGGTGCATGAAATTCGTGCACTTGCGGGGAGTCCCTCAGCCCAGCCTGCACCCTCTCGCAATCCTGGAGCCCTTGGGGGGGGTGTCCAATTGCTGGTTTAGACTAACCCGGCAGTCAGACATCCTTAGTGCTGCCATGGATGTGGGAGTCTCTCCCACCTCACTGCTGTGCTCACCAACCATGAACCCAGCTTCTGGCACACTGACCACCAGGGGGCAGCTACTGTGTTGAGCGTCTGTCCCCTGGTGGTCAGTGCGCATCATAGCGACCTGTTCTGCCATTTGGTCAGTTTGCATATTAGCCTTTTATTATATAGGATAGATGGCCAGTGCAGTTCATAGCAGCTCCTGCGTTGAGCATCTGCTCCCTGGTGGTCAGTGTGCGTCATAGCTACCGGTTGGACAGACAGACACTTAGCCTTTTATTAAAATACTAGAGGCCCGATGCACAAAATTCATGCAAGAGTAGGCCTTCCTTTCCCCGGCTGCTGGCACTGGCTTCCCTCACAACCCTGGCTTCATCTGGAAGGACATCCGGTCTAATTAGCATATTATGCTTTTATTATTATAGATAATTGGTTTCAGAGAGGAAGGGAGAGAGAGAAGCATCATGGATGAGAGAGAATCACTGATTGGCTACCTCCTGCACACCCCCTACTGGTGATCAAGCCCACAACCTGGGCATGTGACCCTGACAGGAATCAAATCCTGGACCCTTCAGACAACAGGCCAACACTCTTATCCACTGAACCAAACCGGTGAGGGCCCTGGTTTCCTTTTGAATTTCCTCTGTATGTGGCTTATTCATGGTATTTTGTCTCCTTGTCTTTTTCTTAGTAAATTGCCAATAATCTTATCTTATTTAATGGATGTCAATATAGATAGACAATTTTGGAACAAATCTAAATGTTGATATTCATAAGAGAAGCTACTATTAGAATGTGCCAACAAATATAAAATACGTTTTGTTGATCATTGAAAAACTCTTCTAAATGTGATTTATAACTTTTGAAAGTAGGCAAATAGTATAATGAATCAATCATCTTTTTTATTAAACGATAGATCCGAGTGGGACATACTTTTGAAGGATGTGCAATGTTCAATCATAAGTGTGACAAAAACTGACAAGCAGGAAGCTTATGTACTCAGGTAAGTCCTGTAAAACAAGAGTTACCTAACATATTTCTGTCTGAATTTTACTATATATAGAATAGCAAATTGTTCCCCTGGACCTTAGTTCTATAATTATTTTAACCTTATTTTTAAAAATACGATGCAAAATAAAATGTTAATTCAGGTATCCCTAGGAAGTAGGTTTTGAAGTCTTACCTGAAAGATCTTCAAGATGGTTGCCATCTTTACCTATTTGTAGTGAGCAGGAAGTATCTATAAAGTGGGTAGAATGACATTGTACCTTTACCTTGGAGATTGGAGTCTTACTTTTAGTATATGCCTCTCAATATCAGAACTTAGGCAAAGTGAAGTTAGCTCCGCTGTATAAATAGGATTGCCATCTATAACAGAAAAAAGTCATTCAACCTCTTTATAGGTACAAAGATAATTTATTCAATAAATACGTTGAATTCTTATACATATTATAATGGGCCTTGGATTGAACAAGGTTCCTAAGGTACCATAGAGATATAATGGTGAGTGAAAACAAACATTCCTTCCTTCTCTGGGCTTATTACCTAGTGTAAGAAGTAATGAGATGGCTATAGAAATACATGTGAGAGTGGATGGTGCAAGATGATGTAAAGTATGAATTTAATAATGTCTTAGGATAGGTGAGGAGAAAAATTTAGTAGTAAAAAAGAGGGTGTGTATAATGAGCTAATATGCTTTATAATGAATTTAAGGACTATTTCTGTGGGTTCTAGTACTTAAACGGATTTTTGTATAATAGAAGAGGAAGACTACTGTAGTATATTATTTGCTTCCTTGAGGTTTTAACATTTAAAATTAGCAAAAATTTATATTGTAAATTATAGTCCAATAATAAGTTAATTGTATCAAAAGTACATAAATAGCATTATAATATTGTAACTTTTTTTAATTGTAGTGAGAGTAGCATGTTTGTCTCCAAGAGACGTTTCATTTTGAAGACATGTGGTACCACCCTCTTGCTGAAAGCACTGGTTCCCCTGTTGAAACTTGCTAGGGATTACAGTGGGTTTGACTCAATTCAAGTAAGTAATCAAAAAACATTATTTAATCCTTTAACTTATAAATAAATTCGTATACTTATTGTTTTGGTTGTAATGGGTAAGGGTGGGCACAACATGAGAGAAAGAATATTCTTCCTGATGCGGAAGAATTGCAGAATATGGAGGAAGCAGAGAATGAGTTGGGATAAAATCCATATGGGAGAAAGAAATGAAGAAACCAGACATGTTCAATATTTAACTCCTTGAAATGTTAATATGAAGGGCAAAGAAACTAAGAAAATAAGTGAAAGCAAGAAAAATTCAGTTTTCATAATAAAAAGTTGATTATGTTAAGAGCAACAGTATATAGAGTTAAATTCTGATAACATTTAAGAATTAAGGCGATAGCCCGGCTGGTGTGGCTCAATGGATTGAGCATTATCCCATGGACCAAGAGGTCCTGGGTTCCATTTCTGATCAGGGCACATGCCCAGGTTGTAGGCTCAATTCCCAGTAGGGAGCATGCATGAGGTGGCTGATCGATGTGTCTCTCTCGTCGATGTTTCTATTTCTCTCTCCCCTCTCCCTTCCTCTCTGAAGTCAATAAATTTTTTTTAAAAAGAATTACGGTGTTTACTTAGGGCATAATTGTTCTGATGAGCAGATGTTGAATTTTAGTATTTTACCTAATTAGGGTAAAGGATATCTTGTTACTAGGACCTAAGAAAGTTTTTAGTTACTGATCCTCATAAGAAACTCAAGCAATATGTCCTTAATTTTTTGATCACTGACTCTTTTCTGATTCTGGAGAGATAGAAACACTGATGTGAGAGATAAACATTGATCGGTTGCCTCATGTACATGCCCCCAATGGGGAACAAACCCAAACCCTGCTATGTATCAATTGGGAATGGAACCCCCGACCCTTTAGGGCAAAGGATGACCACTGAGTTACACTGGCTAGTGCTGAATCACTGACTCTTAAAGTTTAATGTACACATGTTCTCCCACAAAATTTTGGTTTACATGCCTATTTAATGCTCAGATCAGAAACCACTGCTTTATTGTATTTTAATTGGTATCGTTGTTATGACCCATCATCTCTAGGCTGGGCATTTTAATTTGTAGAAAGTCATTAATGCACTTATATTATTAATGCTCTGCTGAGACTTTTCCACAGTTACAGAGTTGTTCCTAATAGCACTTGACTCATGGATATTGGTTTATCTTCCTTTTTTAGAGCTTCTTTTATTCTCGTAAGAATTTCATGAAGCCTTCTCACCAAGGGTACCCACACCGGAATTTCCAGGAAGAAATAGAGTTTCTTAATGCAATTTTCCCAAGTAAGTTTAAATAAATAGAATTGAAACCTGCTTTATTAAAGTTAGAGGTATATCTTTTCAGAAGTCTTTATATATATGAAAGCACATTTATGCAAATGTAGCATGTATATAATTAAGATAAGTGTATCAGTATAGTTGATTATAAATTTTAGAGTATATGTGTGTGCACCTCGGGTCATTGTTGTTAAAATGATAGAAAATGAAACGAATTCATCTTGATCCAGTCACGTGCTCTGATTTATATCTAACTTAGTGTATATGAAGGTTATGATCCCTTCATCCAGAAAAATGCCCAGTGAGTGACTGCATAATCCTCTGTTAAGACACTGATCCAGCATTCTATACAGGAATTAAGCTGCTTTATAAATGACCAGCACAGTGAGATCATATGTGCCTTCAGTATACTAGGCAAGATTTTCTTTCATTTACAAAACTTTTATTTAGAGATCTTTTTTTTAAAAAAAATACATATTAAGGATATGTGTGTGTTTTGGGTTTTGTTTTGTTTTGCTTTTTTGAGAGAGAGAGATGTGAAAAAGAAACATTGATCAGCTGCCTCTCATGGCCTGAACAGGTATCAAACTTGCAACCTAGGTATATGCCCTGACTAGGATTTGAGCCTGCAACCCTTTGGTGTATTGGGCAACACTCCAATCAACTGAATCACTAGCTAGGACTATAAACCTTCCTTTTTGATCTTTAAGGTCAAGGAACTAAGGGTTTTCTAATCCAACACCCTTATATCCTAGATAAAGCTGATAACAGGATCATTTTAATAATTTGACAGTCACTCACTGGCATGATTTTAAAAGAAAATCAGATTTCTATTCTTATCTACTAATATGAAACTAAACTGGTCTAAATCAGAGAGTGCTAATTGTAACTTAATGTAAATATCTATCAATTGTTAATTTACTGTGTTGAGTGAGGCTTTGAAACAGTATGGAAAGTATTACATAAAATAAGTTGTATTTACTTGGGAGAGTAGATAAATGGGCAACCAAATTCTATTTCCTAATGGAGTTTTAGGGGAGAAGGAACCATAGTTTTCTCAGCACCACTTAGACTGACTCACTGGCTGCTGAAGAGAATTTCTAAACGACAGTCAGTAAAATATATACATATATTTTAAAGGGTGATGGGGGAGAGTCTTGCCTACTTGTGAATTCACCCACTTACTTTCCTTCACTGATATTTCTGGTAGGAGGCAAATAGTATCCCAGCTATTGGAAGGGTGAGAAAAAAACCATCCTATCAAATGGAACTGTTGCATTTATTTTACTTTCTCCTCCCTCAACAGATGGAGCAGCATATTGTATGGGACGTATGAATTCTGACTGTTGGTATGTTGGACATAATCTTACTGATTTTTTTCTTGTATATAAGATTACTTTAAATTGCCGGTTGTCATTTTTAAAAATGAGTTTTTACTCTTGTATAGGTACTTGTATACTTTGGATTTCCCAGAGAGTAGGGTAATCAGTCAGCCAGATCAAACCCTGGAAATTCTGATGAGTGAGCTTGACCCAGCAGTTATGGACCAGTTCTACATGAAAGATGGTGTTACTGCAAAGGATGTCACTCGTGTAAGGATTTTCAGTAATTCTGGATTCTGCTTGGGGACTAACGTATATTGTTTAACTCATTCTTGTTTTATTTTTTAAATTTGTATTTAATTCAGTCTCTTTTTTCTTTCTTTCCTTTTCAGGAGAGTGGAATTCGTGACCTGATACCAGGTTCTGTCATTGATGCCACAATGTTCAATCCTTGTGGGTATTCGATGAATGGCATGAAATCGGATGTAAGTAATAATATTTGCTTAATACTTATTTAGAGAATTCTACCACTGAACCACCAATGCTCACTGCTTAATACTTATTTAAATATTTAAGTGTGCCCTTTCCATTATTAACACAAAATTATTTCTCTAAGGGAACTTATTGGACTATTCACATCACTCCAGAACCAGAATTTTCTTATGTTAGCTTTGAAACAAACTTAAGTCAGACCTCCTATGATGACCTGATCAGAAAAGTTGTGGAAGTCTTCAAGCCAGGAAAATTTGTGACCACCTTGTTTGTAAACCAGGTACTTTGTTTTTTGACAATAAAATCTTCCAGAAAATAAGGGTAGTGAGGAATGTCATAAAATGGTACCTATCAGTCAGATACTAGTTGAGGTTTTTGGGATAAAAAGTTTCTTCTGTTTCATTAAATTTCTGTTGGTTCTTGTTTTATATCTAGTTAATTGGTGGGCTCCCCCTGTACTGTTTATTGTCCCTGTTGGCAGGCCTGGGATTGGGATGGGGGCTGGTGGACATAAGTTATCTTATCTCACTTAAGCCCATAAGAAGGCAGCTAAGATATTTCAAATACCATAGTTCTATGAAGATAAATGTTTTAAATATTTGTGGCATGACTATGTTGTTTGTGAATCTTTTGCAGGTTGGAAGCACTAACAGTTTATTTAATTTTCTTCCCCAGAGTTCTAAATGTCGCACAGTGCTTTCTTCGCCCCAGAAGATTGAAGGTTTTAAACGTCTTGATTGCCAGAGTGCTATGTTCAATGATTACAACTTTGTTTTTACCAGTTTTGCTAAGAAGCAGCAACAGCAGCAGAGTTGATTAAGAAAAATGAAGAAAAAACGCAAAAAGGAAACACACATAAAAGAAGGTGGTGGCTGCTTTTTAGATGTTGATACCGGGGGCCATGCTTTCCATAACCACCACCTTGTAGTTGCAGAAAGCCCTAGATGTAATGATAGTGTAATCATTTTGAATTGTATGCATTATTATATCAAGGAGTTAGATATCTTGCATGAATGCTCTATTCTGTGTTTAGGCATCCTATGCCACTCTTGCTGTGAAATTGAAGTGCATGTAGAAAAAAACTTTTACTATATGAAACTTTACAACACTTATGACAACAATTCAATTTGGTTTATGCACAGTGTAATATTTCTCCAGGTATCCTCCAAAATTCCCCACAGACAAGGCTTTCGTCCTCATTAGGTGTTGGCCTCAGCCTAACCATCCGGGACTGTTCTATTAAATTGCTGCCAGGATGTTACATCCAGTTACCTCCAATTTCTAGGACATATTCTCTACTAATGTTATTGAAAACAATTTCTACTTCATTCAGATGTTTTTTTCAATGGCAATTAAAGTTTTTCTTCCACGAGTGGAGTCCTCTTAAGAAAGTGATTGCAGTTAACCATTTTGTGTACTACTGTTTTAACATTATTGCTTCCTGAGTTTGTATTCCTTTCATTGATTTTGTTCCTCACCATGGTGTCTCCCCTCCCAACCCCGCCCCAATAAAGCAATACACTGTTACACTGGGTCTATACCAATCTTATACCCCAGAGGGGGAAAGGAGATGGACCCTAGGATTTAATTTTCTTTTAAGGTCAAGGGAGTTTTTGTTGGCATTGGCTCTTTTAGAAGGTAGTGACAAAAGTAAACTTCTAGTGTTGATTAGCAAGGAAGACACAAATTAATATTAAACTACACTGGCAGAACTATATGGGAACTATGCCATTCTGTGCTCTCCAGTAAAATAAGATAGCTTCTCATGAAGACCATACCGTGTCTTTACTAACTTGCTAAGTTAGTAGTATAAAAAAAATTTTATCACCAAATTTATTAGCAAGGAGAAAACAAAGGTTATACTGGATTCAGTAAGTCAAATCAAATCATTCACCTTAATTTTTATTTCAGAGCGGCATGAATGTCATTGCCATCTTGTAACCTGAAGTTCTGTGACTGTGATGCACATGATAGCGTTCTGACTTTATGTGTTCCTCTTACTGGTGTTTTCTTCACCACAGTTTCAGAGGATCATGTGAATGAGAACTGTTCCGGTTACTCAGACATACACAGTGAAGCAGAAGGCTGTCCGTAAAACATCCGAAAATCCAAAATGGTCAGTGGGAAATGACTAGAAATACAGGCTTTTAGGAGTTGGCATTTTTAGCTGTATTTGCAAATACTGTGAGATTTAAGCAGCCTAGAAAACAGCAAAGTTGACTACATTTTGTATTCTGTCCTCACTTCTTTTTTTTCCGTTGGGGCTTAATGCAGTGATGTTTTTGTTCCTTCCGTATTTATCAATGAAACACTTTTTTTTAGTGTTTCTAAACATAAAATCTACTTGGTTTTGAAATCAAGTGGTTGGATCACTTTTGACTTATTTTAAGCACATTCTTGATTCAAAGTTTCATTGAAGAAGCTTTCAATCAATGAATCAGTTTGATTCTGTAATTAGCACACAGTACCTACTGTTTTGGTGCTGTTTTGAGGACCAATGCTCAAAGTGGATTTTCTTGGAACAGTGTCCCAGTGGATTTGATGACATGAGTTGGCTTGAGGTCTATTTTTTTTTTCTAATACATTTAAGATTTCTACCTAATGTTGAAAAGCTACACAAATTTGTATGAAACAAAACCTAGAAAAATGAAAACTGTAGATTAAGTAGTAATTTAAATTAATCCTAGTATATTATGATAGAGGAGGGAAACTTTTGGTGCCATAATTTCTCTCTTCATGGTGGTGTTGGACTTAAAATCAGGTGAAATGTATTTCTGTACCACAATTAAAGCTTCAATAAAAGTTTCCTTAATTGATTGTCTAGTGCCATTCAGAAAATTTCTGTTGATGTATTTTTTAAATAGTATACATTATCAAATATTAGGCATCTAAAGTTTTTAAATTAATTGAAAAATCTGTTAAATGATTATTTCCTAAGATTTGTGAGTTATGAAGACAAAAGACCTTTGAGCTCCTGGGAGAATGGCTAATTGGTATTCAGATTTAAACATTTTTTGGTAATGGCTTTATTAACTGAAGCTCAAAAGAACTATTTGGACTATGTACCAGGATATAAGAGATTAGAAAGGGTAAATAGTAAGAATTAGAATGTGTATTTGTGAGTTTGGTCTTAGGGAGTCAAAGGTTTGAAGGTAGAATGTTACCACATTCATTTATGGAACAGGCCTCATAATGGTGGAATGGAGAAGAACAAGCTGTGAGCTTCCTGTACTTAATTGATGGTTATTTCTATTAACTATAACACAATTATAAACTTGATCTTTTTGCCTACAAGAACTTACTTGTTAATCCTCACCAGAGGATATTTTTTCCATTGCTTTTTTATTTTTATTTATTTATTTTTACAGAGAGGATGTGAGTGGGAGAGGGATAGTTAGAAACATCAGTGAGAGAAATATCAATTCAGCTGCCTCCTGCACACTCCCTACTGGGGATGTGCCTGCAACCAAGGTACATGCCCCTGACCGGAATAGACTCTGGGACTCTTCAGACTGCAGGCTGACACTAAGCCAAACCAGCTAGGGCTCCATTGCTTTTCAGAGAGAGTGGGAAGGAAGGACAGAGAGACTGGTTGCCTTTTGCATGCGTCGTCCCCTAGTGGGGGAATGAACCCACAACCCAGGCATGTGCCCTTGACCAGAATTGAACCTGAGACCCTTCAGTGTGCAGGCCAACATTCTAACCATGAAAGCACAACAGCAAGGGCTAGTGTACATATTTTGTGATTCTTTGGTAAAATTTCAGCTCCTCAGTCTCCTTAGCTACAGTAAACTGAGCATCAGAATTTTATAAAAATGTCTATGCACATCTTAGAATAAGCTTATTAGAGAATATTTTCCAAAATTTGAGTAAAGTATTTATTGCTTAGCATAATACTCCCCAGGTCCCTCCATGCTGTCTCAAAGGGATCCTCCTTTTTTGCCGCTGTATAGAAGTGCATATATTCTTTCTGGTTGATGTTCTGGATTTCTTATGATATTTTCCTAAAAGTAGGATCACATAGTATTTACTCTTTATACCAGCAGTCACCAACCTTTGGGACCTCGAGGACCACCAGTGGTCCGTGGACCACTGGTTGGCAACCGCTGCTTTATACAGTGCTCTCATTTAGTGAAAAGTTTTTGAGAGCTTGAACCATGTATTGCTGAGTAGTATTCCTTAGTATTAATATACCACTTTTTTTTTTACCCATTCTATTAATGAGCATTTTACTGATTTCCTGTTCGGGAAAATATGAATAAAGCAGCTGTGAATGTTTGCATATAAATACTTTTGTGGCTTCTGGGTGTATAGTATTAAGCTGCATTTCTCTGATAAGTAATTTAAAATTTTTCTCAGCAATGTTTTGTATGATGCTTTCTCATGCTTGATTTTTAGTATTTTATGTTTCATGATGCTAGGGAACTTACTTTTCTAATTGCTAGTTTATAGATAAATAATTTTTAAATTTTGTATCATGCAACCTTGCTAAACTCATTATTATTATTTTTTAAATATATTTTTATTTTTTTACATAGAGGAAGGGAGAGGGATAGAGAGTTAGAAACATCAATGAGAGAGAAACATCGATCAGCTGCCTCCTGCACACCTCCTACAGGGGATGTGCTCGCAACCAAGGTACATGCACTTGACCGGAATCGAACCTGGGATCCTTCAGTCTGCAGGCCGACGCTCTAGCCACTGAGCCAAACTGGTTAGGGCTAAACTCATTATTTTTTGTTTTGTTTTCTTACTACACTGGTTAACACCTCTAATGCATATTGAGTATTAGTGATAAGAGTTGACCCTGACTGAAGTGAGGTAAGCAAGACACCTAGGGAACAAAATTCAAGGAGGAAAATCAGGGTGATGGCGGTCGGCATCTGAGTGAGTGCATCCTTGCATTCTGCTCCCTGGGGGCTTTGCCTCAGTAGTGTCTTGATCCTGTATGAAGACCATTTTGTCTTGTTCAGATTTTAGCAAGACATTGAGTATTCCATAAATGTTTGCTGTTGGGTTTGTGTAGATGCCTAGATAGATGGCATCTTACATGGTCTTCTGCATAGTTCTCATGAATGGATGTTGACTTTTGACAGATACCCTTTTCCCCCCACCCATTGAAGTGGTCATATCCTTTATTCTGTAAAGATACTATTCCTGTCTTTGGGGAGTTTAGTAATTAAACCTTAGGACTGAAAGAGGCCCCCAAACATTGGAGACAAATGCCTTGTTTAAAGTACCTGCCCAGATGACTGAAGTGGTGGCCAAGGTGGCAGTGATTAAAGTGTTCTCTGAGGTGACAACGGAAGAAACAAAAGATGGCAGATGTTCTTGAAACAAAAGCAATTTTAGTTGATTTGACATGTTGACTTTACAAGACCTTGAACAGGTGACACCCCTCAATCTATCTGCCCATGTGGGAGTGCCCCTCAAAACATCACTGACAGTAAAAACAGCCTTGTGCACCACCTCCATCAGCAGTGGGCCAAAACTGTCAAGAGTAACAAGGACCAAGTCAGCCTCCAGGGCTAGAGAATTACCAACAGCCAGGACATTCACGAGGAGACAAGTCTCCCCCACAGGTCCTCCCATCTTATCTGCTCCTGCTCTGGTCCCACCGCATACCCAGCATTGGCCCGCCCACACCCACACCCCCCACCTCCATCCCCTCCGTGCATACCTCTTCTGACTGTCAAAACCTGTGTTATTTTCCTTGCCTGTAAAATGTGCCGAGCCATGGTTAAAGGGCATGTCAGACAGTGATGTTAGATGCTAGTCACAAGCACCCCCACTCCAGATAACATCCTGCGTCCAGTCCTCTGGAGATGAAGAGCATGTCTGCAAGTGTCTAGAGACCACCTTGCAGCCAGGCAGGGGCTGGAATTACAGGATCTTGACTAGAGAAAAAGTGAAGTGAACTGCTCACTTGCACAAGTTCCCGAGTCCATATTCAAACACTGGCTCATCAATTACTCAGCTAAACCTTTTCTAAATAAGTCTCCCTTTTTCCACCTAACCTAAACCTTGGGGGTTCAGTTATCTCACATACTGGTATATATTTACAATTCAAGAATTATTTTCCCATCAGCATGTTAGCATTTTAGTAGTAGGGCAGTTTGAGGTGAACTGATTGCTTGCTCTAGAAATTTCAAAAATCCATTTAGGAGTTAGAAACTTAACCCCTTAACGTCCTTGACCTTGGTGCTCCCAGCAGATTAATGGTATCTCCCACTCACCCATGTTTTCCTGACCAGCCCTGACTGGATTCAAAGCTTGCAATAGAAATTATGAAACCAATGCTGATGAGACTTTGGAAATACAGCAATTAAACCAATGCTGGTAGCCTTGAACATAGTTCCCAAGGAGGATAATCTGGCAATGCCTTTTTAGCTTGAAGTTTTTCAAAATAGCCATATACAAAGTTTGCATGTAGTTGCAATTTAGATTTCAGAATTTAGGGTGCTGGTTAATTATGTCTATGCAGCATAAATAAATGTTTAAAGGAAATGTGTTCACTGTAATCGTAAGTAGGTAAAACTACAAGAATGTTCAGTGAGTTTATAATGCCGATTATGACTTAAATTTAAGTCATAGTGCTAGATGATGAGAATAATAAAAATGAGCCACAGTCACAACCTAACAGGAAGTTGACATGGTGATGATAGGCATGTGGTGCAAGAGCACAGAAGAGTGCCTCTTGCTTAGGAAAGTTTGAAATAAAAATAGTTGAAATAAAAATTGAACTAACAGCTCTACGAACCAACTAAATACCAAGCAAGGATGTGATATTCATTGTAAGGCAAATATTTTTTAAAAGGTCAAGGTGAATTGCTTCCTCTACAAATTTCAAGAATCCATTTAGGTGGTGGTGTTGAAAGTGGAGGGAGATGGGGAAGTGGTTACCATGGTGGCGGAAAGATTGTGGTGGATGCTAAACTTAGATTTCATTTCCCCTTCCACTTCTGCCTTCAGGAGCACCTCATTGAGTATTGGCTACTGGCAGCTCACTGCTCAGTTCCTCCCTAGAAATGTTCTCAGCTGAAGATTTCTGTGTAAGAAAAATGCTTAAAACAGTTTGGCAGAAAATTTAAAGGGACAAAAATAATCCTGGAGGGAGCTTCAAAATGGATTGCAGAAAGGTAGACTGGATGCCAGGAGACCAGTTAAGACTACTACTGGAGGAGAAGGTAAGAAATATTAGGACTGTGAAGTTGCAGAGACAAAATGATAAATGAGACACAAAGAGGTAAAAAGTAGAAGGCTAGAGTTTTCTGATTTGGTTCTACTGACAACTCAGAAAAAGGAGGAGGGAGGATTGGGATGGAAGATAATAGGCTTGCTTTTGGTTATGCTGAGTTTAATGAGCCAAAGATGGATAAAAAGAAACATTTGCAGTGCTAGGATTATGAGATGATGGTCACTTTTTAATAAAGAATGTTTAACCTTTTCTGCAAACTTCTTAAGTTTGTTTACTTAAAATGTGAAAGAATTGCTTAATATAAGTGAAGTAAACATGTACAATAGGCATTTATAGATTTCACAGAAATGTGGAGTAATAAACCTAAGTTTGACAGTGTCATCTTGGTGATAGATTTATGGGTGTGCTTTTACTCATCTCTATTTCTACAATGTACATCAACTGTTTGAGTGGTAAATAAGAATAACATAGATACAGAGGCAGAGCTGCCTCAAACAGATTGTCAAACTGCAGCGGGAAGGCCGGGGAGGGTTGGGGGGCAGGAGGTAGGGGGGTAAGAGATCAACCAAAGGACTTGTATGCATGCATATAAGCATAACCAATGGACATAAGACACTGG